GTTTTCCCAATTCCACACCCACCAAAACATAAACCAAAGTAAGTATCCTGAGATTGATTCGACATTCGTCCTTCATGATTTTTAATGTAAACTTCAAACGCAGCATTCAATCCATCATCACGATCCACAAACTCTGTTACTGTACTTTTTTTTTTGACTAAGTTAGCTTCGTCTGGAATGAAATCTTGTAATATCTGACTCAGTTTTATCTTGCGCTTTTTACCTGAATTGAAAAGGAAGAGGAAAGCATTGACTAGTTAATATATAGTATTCGGTATCACCAACAAAATGGTTGAGTAAATAAAATATTACGAAATAACACTGTTGAATAACACGCGTACAAACGTTAAGATAGAACCTACTTTGATTGTTCAAAACCTCGATAAACTCTGCAAGGTTCGTGGCCGGTCCTCTTCTTAAACCATCTTGCAAAAGATTATCTTCAGTATACCTAAGGAACGCTCTACCGTTAATACCATTCTCCTCGAATTTCCCAATTTCAGCGTCATTAAGAGAAAAATAATTTTTCTTGGATTCTAAAAAATTTCTAACATTCGCTATGCTCCAGCCTTGAACTGTATCGAATGACGGAATTTTTGTGGACATTGATAAAAAATATAGTAGAGAACAAATTTATCAATAAGCAAGTTTTGGCGTCATATATAAGCCAATCAAGAAATTTACAATGGAATATTCTAGAACTCATTTCCTTATTTGGAATATTCCCTGACGGAAATACTTATCCCATGTCCCATGTCAAATGACGGATTCATTTTTGATTGGTTACCTAAACCCGGGGTCTAAGTTAAGGATGCTCGAAAACACATAAATTTAAACAAAAAAAATCTGGGGTTTCCAAAAGCTTGTTTTTTATGTTGTCAAATTCAACCTGACGATGTCAGTCGACAACGTTGTTAAGGTAATAACCATATGAAATAGAAAGATATTTTTGATTTTAAAAGTTAATAATTCATTTTAATACTCTTAAAGGTTGCAAACATTTCTTCTCTTGTAACTGAACCGGTATTGAAGCAATTGTTCGAATTCTTGGGTGAGGTTACAACAATTAAATTATACAATAGGTAATAAATAAATACTTAATTATAACAAAAAAAAATATATAAATTATTCAATTTGCTGACAACTCGTTTTGTTTTAGTCCTCACGGTGATGGTGTACAAGAATGCACGATAGAATTCAAAGAGGCATCATCTGCCGTAACGGCTCTCCACCTAACCGGTGTAGAATTAGGTGATCGCACTTTGATGGTTTCATCAACTACGGCGCCTGCCGGCATACATAGTAATACTTCGTATCAACCACCAGTTGTACCTCCTTCGTTGCCCCAAATACATCCTTCTTCTATATCTCCTATTAGACCACCACAAACTTCAAAAACTCCACAATCTATTCCTCCTAAACCTATGATCCCTCCTCTAGCTCTTCCTCCTTTTCCGTCTAATTCTCTTGTAGCGATTAGGTCTAACCCAGCTATTTCACCAACCGTTGCTCAATTCGATCCTGCTAAAGCTGAAGAGATTTCTAGAACCGTTTATATTGGTAATATCAACTCTTCGATTTCTGAGCCTGAATTGACACAGTTTTTCTCTGCTTGTGGTCCGGTTGCGTACGTAAAGATGGCAGGTGATCCAGCTCAGCCAACTCGGTTTGCATTTTTGGAATTCGCCACCTACGAAGGTGCACAAGCGGCCATGCAAATGAATGGAGTTATGCTTGGAGATCGTCCTTTAAAGTATGTTTACATTTGCGTGTATATTCTTTTAAATTTTAATTACTTAAATCGCAAATTTTTAAATACGATTTTTTTTTATTTAGGGTAAATCATTCAAAAAATGCCATCAACAAGACACCAAAAAAGACAGATGCTCCGGATGTACAAGCAACTATGCGTCGTGTCAGGGAGGCTCAATTAAGAATTGCAAATCGATTAAATACTGATGGCACTACTCCCGATAATGAATCTCCTTCAGCATCTGTACAACAGGATATAGAAATGCGAGATGCGACTTCACCTACTAAAGAAGCCATATCTGCTCGTAGCCGTTCTAGATCTATCAGACGTAGTAAGTCTAGGTCACGAACAAGAAGTAGAAGTAGAATTAGAAGGAGAAGAAGTAGATCAAGATCCAGAGGTAAGTATTTTAATTGTCAATTTATTATTATCAATGATGTGAATATTAACTCTCGTATAATAAATAGATTTTTATTTTCGACGACGAAGAACTCCAAGTCGTTCTAGAAATCGTGACAGAGGTTTGGATTTGATGATTTTGTTGTTTTAATATTCATTCGGTATATATTAATCATTTTTTTTTCTAGTAGGCGATCGATACAGGGAAAGAGATCGTGAAAGAGATAGAGAGAGAGATCGTGAAAGAGATAGAGAAAGAGATCGTGAACGCGAAAGAGAGCGAGACATTAGGGAAAGAGAGAGAGAGAGAGAGAGAGAACGTGATAGAGAACGTGACCGGGAACGTGACCGAGATAGGGATAGAGGTAGAGACCGGGACCGTGACCGTGACCGTGAACGTGATAGAGGAGATAGGGATAGAGATAGGGATAGGGATAGGGATAGAGATAGAGATAGAATTACTGAAAGAGATCGGGATCGAGATCGGGATAAGGATAGGGATCGAGATAGAGATAGAGATAGGGATAGAGATAGAGATAGAGATAGGGATAATAAGGATAGTAGGGATAATAAGGATAGGGATAGGGTTCGTGATAGAGATAGGGAGAGAGACAAAGACAGAGAACGAGAACGAGATAAGGATAAAGACAAAGAAAAAGAGCGTGAAAAGGATAGAGATAAAGATAAAGAACGAGAAAGGGAAAGAGATATAAAAGAGAAAGATCGCGATAAAGAAAGAGACAAAGAAAAAGATCGCGACAAAGAAAGTAATAAAGAGAAGGACCGCGAAAAGGAAAGTAATAAAGAAAAAGATCGTGATAGAGAAAATATTAAAGAAAAGGATCGTGACAAGGAAAGAAACAAAGATCGTGATAGAGAAAAAGACAAAGAAAGAGATCGTGACAGAGAAGTTAATAAAGAAAGGGATCGTGACAAGGAAAGAGACAAAGATCGTGATAGAGAAAAGGAAAAAGAAAGAGATCGTGACCGAGAAAGCAACAAAGAAAAGGATCGCGACAAGGAAAGAGAGAAAGATCGTGATAGAGAAAAGGATAAAGAAAGAGATCGTGATCGAGAAATTAACAAAGAAAAGGATCGCGACAAGGAAAGAGAAAAGGACCGTGATAGAGAAAAGGATAAAGAAAGAGATCGTGATAGGGATAAAGATAGGGAACGAGATATAAAAGAAAAAGACCGAGAAATAAAAGAAAAAGACCGGGATAAAGAAAAAGAACGAGACAAAGAAAAAGAAAAAGAAAGAGATCGAGACAAAGAAAAGGAAAAAGGAGATCGAGACAAAGAAAAAGATAAAGAAAGAGATCGTGATCGGGATAGGGAACGGGATATAAAAGAAAAGGATCGGGAGAAAGAGAAGGATAGGGATAAAGAAAAAGAACGAGACAAAGATAGGGATAAGGAGAGAGACAGAGATAGGGAGAAGGAGAGAGATAGAGATAGGGATAGAGAGAAGGAGAGAGACAGAGACAGGGATAGGGATAAGGAGAGAAACAGAGATAGGGATAAGGAGAGAGACAGAGATAGAGAAAGGGATCGAGATCGGGATAAAGATAGAGACAGAGATAAAGATAGAGAGAGAGATAAAGAGAGGGAAAGAGATAAGGAAAGGGAAAGAGATAGAGAAAGAGATAAAGAAAAGGAAAGAGAAAGGGATCGTCGATCGAGAAGATAGGTTAACACATGTTTTATTACAAAAATGTTGGGTGAGCAAAGAAATCAAAGAAATATTACTTTACCTTTTTCTCATGTAAATGAAATTTTAAACTGAATAAATTTTGTCAAAACCAGAGGTCACGTGACTCGTTTTAAAAATTATAAATAAGCGGATCCATTGTTACAGCAAGTTTTTGAGTTCAGAATGTCCGATATGGTACCATTCTCATTATTACGAAATCCCATTTCATTTGTCTCTTCAAAATCTTTGCAAACTGAATCGAGCGCTCAGTCGGAGGAGGAAGATAGGAAAAAATTATCGGAAAATATAACAAAATTTTATCAAAGTGTAATTTCACTTCCAACGAAAAAGGTACGAAAAGGTAAAATAAAAACTCGAAAGAGACGACAAGGAATATTAAACAAGAAAAGTATCACAAATAATATAAGTTTGGGGGATTGTTTTTCACAATTAAATCAAAAGAGTTCTTCCGATAGCTTAGAAAGGTTACTAGAATATAATGACGAGGACGATGTAATTAAACACGACAAGAACGACAAAAAAAAGAACGTTGAAGTTAGTGATTCTACAACGGTAGAAAATGATGATAAAATATGGTGTGGAGATTGTGGGATTTGGGTTGAAAAACATTTATATCAAAGTCATATTCACGGTACAGCGCACCTTGTTATATCAAAAAGCTTAAATGATCAATCTATACCTGATCCATTGGCATTAAATGAGGTAAGTTTTATATTTTTATTGTAAGATTTTTCTTTAAAAATTTATTAATTAAAAATAATAAAAAAATTTAATTCTTTCTAGACTAATGTAGGATTTAAAATGTTACGTGATCAGGGATGGAGTTATGAAAAAGGACTTGGCGTAAATGAACAAGGTAGAAGACATCCAATACCAACAAGACTAAAAAATGATAAATTAGGTATTGGTGTAAAAAAAACCAATCAGCCTCCGAAGGTACTCATTTATGTTTCGCAATTAAATTTATTAATTCTTTTAATATTAAATTTACTGCTTAATTTAGATAAGATTAAAGAGACTGAATGCAAAACAAACAGCTGAGCAATATGAAAAAGATCGTAAAGATAAGATTAGAATGCTTGCTTATATGAACAGATGATCTAAATAATTCTAATAAGAAAAGTTGAACAATTTTTTATTTTCATTACTAACGTGTATTAATAAATTTACATCAGTTCTAAATTTTGTTATTCAGATTAATTTCAGAATTTTATTAAGTCATATAATGTAAGTGCAAATATTGTCAAACGAGGGCAAAAGAACAACTAAATATGACAGTACTGTTTATAATAAAGACAAATTCTTAAACGATCTTTGATTCCCCCTCTTCAAATCATTGCAGCTATTTTACTTTGTTGCATTCCAAGTCCAAGTTCACGCTCTCTACTTTTCTAGTAGAGATTATTCCAAGTATAGTAAAGTATATATCTCTTGGTCTTCACATATATTGTGATTGATACATCCAATCAGTATTAATTAAAAAAAACGGCATACAAGAAATCACGTATATATGACTTTCAATTTGTGATTATTTTATTAAAACAAGAAAATCATATTATATTATTCATGAAACATATCGCGCTAAAAAATTATAAAAAACACAATGTAAGAACATCACACGGTACATGTTTATTTATATATAATTAAATATATAGAACCAACCTTGATACTCAGCGAGAATTTTAGCAGATGATTTGGCATCATAAAACAATTCATCCACTTCTTTAAGATCTTCCAATGTGATAAGTTCTCGTCCATTTGTTCGTGAAAGTATACTTGCAGGAGTGAGTAATTGAATAACATATCTACAAATACGAACAAATTAAAATCAAAACTCATTATTTTTAAACAATAGACTTTTGTCGTAAATTATTACCTCAAAGATGTTTTGACCCCAGATTCAGCCATGTAGTTCAAGGCATCGTCGGACAAATCTAATCCTTCCGTTCTTGCACGAATTTGAACAATTGATCTGATATCATCCAAATTGTAAGGTAATGTTCGAATGATCAAAATTCGATCAATCAAATCAACTGGGATGCCATGAGGTGCAATAATATCATCTGTTCCTCTATCAAAATATTAGAAAATAAGTTCGGAGGTTTTTTTTAAAAAAATAAAAATAAAAATAAAAAAAAAAATAAAAATAATCTATTACCTGACTTGACACATTCCACGGTTTGTAGCGAAAATCACTATAGGCGATATGGAGGATTCCAACGCCTTATTTAGATATGTAAAGCATTCAATGTCTAACAAGTGTACCTAAAAACGATTTAAAGTATTAAATGAACTATTCAATAAAGGATACTACCAACATCAAAATGTAAATATCAACCTCATCTATGAACAGAACGCCTGGAACTAGCTCGGCAATTCCCTGATCTATATATTTATTGACCACCTTATTGATCTCTTTTCTTAACTTATCTGTGATTTCAGTCTTTTTTGGTTTCAATAATTGACCCATCATTGACATAATATCTTGCCCACCCTACAAATATTATACATATATTAACATTAATTTGGTTTAAAATAATAAAGTGTACACTAAGGTGTACCTGAGGCCGAGCATTTGCGATATCCAAGTCATTCAATGTAACATCCTGAACAATTTCTTTCTTTTTATGCACTTCTCCTTTCGGAAGCGGAACGTATTCATCAGCTTCTAAATCGAATTCAGTAGCATAAGCGTCGGATCTGCCAACACGCTAATAGTTGAAACGACTTTATACACTCATTTCTTATTCAAACAAACAAAGGGAGGGATCATTATAAAAAAAAAATAAGGGAATTTCATACCTTTACAGCACCAGTATTAGCTTCAATGTAAATAACGTCTCCAACGGTAACCTTTTCTTTTTGAATGCTCTCATAAATACTTGGATCTAATTTCAATGTTTTTACTCCTTTAACTGTTTTTAATCCAATGGTCACGTGTGACAAAGTTTTACCGTAACCACCCAATGGATTTTCTGTTTCTTCGGGTGTAAGTTCCAACACTTCACCTTCATACACTTCTTTAGTTTCTTTAATTCTTAATCCTATTAAAAATAACATAAATCAAAATTGATTCAAGATCATCTGATGATCGAATATTAAAATTACCTATAGCCCTTCGAAAATTCTCCATTAAAACTTCCGTTTTCTTAACTTCTGAAGAATATACTTCACTACCAACCATTGGACAAAATGGAACTTTAGGACCAAGCTCTTGAGCTATGGCGAGGGCTATCGCGGTTTTACCAGTACCTGGAGCGCCAGCTAAAAGTAAAGCGCGGCCGGCCATTTTTTTACTTTTTACCAAGTCCACAATAATACCACATGCCTATAATTAATCATTAATAATTAAATCTAAACGCGTGGTAATTGAAACGAATTTAAGCAAAACTATTAACCTCTCTTGCTGAATTTTGACCAACGAACCCGTCAGCTTGCTGATATGCTCTTCCTTCGTCATTTAAACCAAGTCCCTTAATATGTGTATGAGGTGCAACGCGCTGTTCACGCGTTGTACTTTTTACTTCTGAAATTCTCATTAGGATTCCGTGTTTCAATTTCGAAAATGAACTTATTAAGTCGATTTTTTCTAGTGCGAATTTTATATCATTATTATTTAAATTTTTCTATAATAGCGGATTTCTATGATTGGCTAGTTATTTATTTCAATATTATTGGTCAATTTAAATCAATTGTAATTCCCAAGATCGACAATCTATCCATATTTAATAAATAAATTATATCTCTTTTTTATTCTGTATAGAGAGAGTATCACACAATTTTGAATTAATATATACTTTTAAATTCAAAAAGAAAAAAGCTTATCTCTTAAACTATAAATATAAAATTATTTACAAAACATTTTAGAAAACTTAAAATATTTTGATATCTAATGATTATAAAAAAATAAAATAAAATTTTTTAGATTTATCATATTATAATATATCTAATAGTACAGTGCATACAATTTAGTCCCAACCAATAAATTTGATAAAATTCAAATTGTTATTCCTCATTCAAAAAACATGATAAATATAAAATATAATCATAAAATGATAGAGTAACTCAAATCTAACAAAACTATGTTTTTAAAATTTCAATTAAACTATTTTCGATAGAGCAGTAGCAATTTAAAAGTGAGGTCATTTTACTATTAAATCAGAAATTTTGACCGCCTCTCACGTGACTCACGTGATCAATTTTCTTACTTTTTATTGGTTGATTTTCATTTTCGTGATACTGATCAAAAGCCATAATCTTTTAAAAAAAAGATTTAATGTCCCTTGCTATCTTTATTAAAAAAATAAACGAAAGTTTTTAAAAGATAAGTATTTTAATTACTATTATTGATATACACAAAATTTACATATTACTAATTTTTTGCTTTTCTTTTTGTCCATAACAAGTATAAATAATCCAGTGTATTTTGCCTAAATAATAACTGTTTGTAAAACTGAATCAGAAACCTGACGATGTGAACGATACTTTTTAATCGCAAATTCTGCTGCCTGACACGTTAAGTCTTTTCGGTATACATTCATATAGTGAAATGCCTTCATTACATATCGACGAATAGTTGTAAGTAAAACAGAAGCAAGAGCCAATGGAACAGTCCTTTGTAATCCTGTCCACAAGTAATCATAATTTGACTGACTAAATTTCTTAGCTGCACCCCAAAAGTTTTTAATATAATTGAGTTTACAATGAAATTTAGGATAGAATATGATTTGATGTTCAGCTGCAATAATAATCTCTTCTAATCATCCCTTTTGTGCTAAAAAATCTGACTGCTGACTCATAATTTTTTGTGCTTCTTCTAATTTCAACCCTCCATTTGGCCACAATCTCTTTTCTGTTAGAACTTGCTTTAACCCTTTTGACTGTCCACGTAGTTTAAAAATATGATTATCTAACAGAAAGACCATTTCTTGTTGAACTTCCTTACCAAAATACGTGCTGCGCATCTTCAGTTACTTTTCACCAAGACTAAGATTCATATGTTTGGCAATTAGTGCATCTGGTGAAAAAGCAGCATAGTTTGATGTATTATCAAATGCAAATAAAACCTGATACCCTGGAAAACATTTTTTGAATATGAAAATAGCATGTTCGACTACTTGGTTTACCAAATCTTCAGCCTTTCACCATCCATCATTGTTTTTACCTGGATTCATAATAATACAGACCTTTTTAGGAAAATTATCTGATACCTGTATTTCGTCAGAAAGTGTAAGATGGCCACAAACATCAGTCAAAAAGTCACTGACATAAATCGAGTAATTGTTACCTTTTTTCGTAAGGGTTGTTCTCCATTAGGGATTCAAAGACTCTGACTTTCATCATAAACTAAGAAAATGCATTTATCGTACATAACAAGAATAAGTGGATTATCTGGTCAGATTACTTCTTCTAAGTTATCTCCTGAAAAAATAGGCATTCTAAGCTCAAGTTCACTTATTTGTTCTAAAAATATTTTCTAATAAGCCACCACATCTTCTTTTTCATGCCCATCTATATACATTCCCTTTTTTACTTTTGCATATGTATAACCAAGATCTTTTAAATAGTTTTTTGTAGTATTTATATGAATAATTAGAGACAGTGCAAATCTGAGCCCTGATAAAATATTCTCATTTATTTATATCATTAACATTTGTAGAGTAATTTTCCACTTATGCTCCTGAACAAATGACTTCACTTGAAGAAAAATATCTTCATCCTAAAGAAAACTCCATATCTTAGCATGATGTCCTTGATGGGAGTAGGGAATTTTGTGATTCTTTTTATATTTACGTGCCTAAGAATGAATGCATTTAGCATGGTATATTCCTTTTCCTGCTGCATCAGCAATAATCTCGCTCGCTTGCATTTTTAGATGGTTACTTTTCACAAGTTGAAAATAAAGATGAATGCTATTTAAACGTACCTAAACCTTACTATTTGTTTTTTCTTTTTTAATATTTAAAATTAGACTTTTGAGAGCATCCAGGATTTTATTATACTAATTATAACCCTTAACCTCATTATCTAACTGTTTATTAGCATTATCATCTAATACTAACTGTTCATCAGCATTATCATCTACATTTATATTAATCTTATCATCTAATTCTTCAATTTCTTCAGTAGATTTCTTAACATTCCAAAAGGTATATAACTTAAGGGTCCCTTTTGCTGCTTTATGCTGTTGCTGATTCTTTCTTCTTTTAGTGTAGCTTGAGTTTTCTATATAATGTAATCTATGTATTTCTTGAGAAGCATGTTCCTAATGATACTTTTTTGCCGCTTCTTGTAGTTTTTTTACAATGCTTATGACATTATCATTTTCTATTGGCTCATCATGAATGGAAAAATTATCATCATAAAAAGAAATATTATCATTGTCAGGATCTTCAATATTATCATAGCCTTTCAGCTCATCATAGAAAGAAATATCATTAACATCAGGATAACTTTCAAAATCAGATACGTTATCAATATCAATGTTACTTCTGGTATACTGACGCTTAGCTTTTTTTGTTTTACAAATTTTTTTTAGATATTTTTGACATTTTGTTGGATGTGGCATATTAGAATATTACTATATAAGCAAGTCAACTTTTTTATTATTTAATTAATATTGATTTTTATAATGAAAAAAATTCTTCTAATCATAAAATACACAAAGTAAAAAAATTATAGTCACATCAAAAAAGTAAAATTAAGTTACGCATATATCTACCAATCAGTTAATATATTTAATATCGTGAAATCCATTTGAATTCTGAAAGTTGAAATCCTGAAACCTCTTTATCACATTCTACATGTAGTCATATTTATCATACACCTTTCGTGAATATATTAATGTGACAAATAATTTTGATTTTGAGATTTTATATTAACACAATACTACAACAATCCAATTAATACTAAACTATTTTAGAATATACTGATAGTGTTTTTATTAATTATAAATGCTAATTTGTTATACATGTTTAATATACAAATATAAATTCTAATCATGATGAAACTATTTTGTCACGTGATATATATATGCACTAATAAAATTACGAGATTTCTTTATTACATGATAAATGATCAACATCTCAAATTTGGCCGCTTAAAAAATTTTTGGTTGGGACTAAGTTGTATGCATTGTAGTATTTTTAAACTTTTAATTATCAATATATAAAAATGTTAAGGTCTGTAATCAGACTGATCTGACTCTGATTTGATCATAGAACCAGTTTCAGTTCAATTTGTAGATCAACTCAAATTGAAATTAAACTGAATCAAACTGGTTTTTAGATCAATTTGAACGATCAATTTATATAAATGCTATATTACATAAATTGTAAGACGAGTTGATTATTTTAATTAAAATAATTTTCATTTGCATTATTATTTGTATTGCATAATGTCTGATAGTATAATTTTAAATGAAAATGATGACAATTTCTCAGATGTTTCTTTAACTTTTTTAGCAACTGAAGAAGATTCTAATATAACTACTATAAATAGCTAACTAAAGTACCTTCTATAGTATAATATCTTTTTCATACTTATATCTAGAATATTATAAGCTATTTATAAAAAGTAATATATAAAATATTAAAAAAATCATTCCAATAATAAGTTCTGAATATCATTATATTATTTGTATAATTTTAGAAAAAAGTTAATTATAAAGTTAGTGCTTTTTTTAAAATAATATTTTGCAAATTTTATGAAATTTGTAATATATCTGGGTATTTTAGTCAGCTGTTTATAGTACTTGTAAGTCAGATATATATAAATTTTTTTTTAAAGTTCAAGATGAAGAAATTGGACTAATAATAAATTATAAATGCATATTATGTATTAAAATTTATTTATCTAGCAATCCAATAACCATCCTTCAAAAAACATTTAACTAAAAAACATTTATTTTATTATAAAAAAACTGTAAATCATCAAATTACTTTGAATGAAATATGTTTCAAATCCTATTCTTTATCACAATTCAACTTCATCACAAATTTATTGATTGATTTTATTGCAATTGATTTATAACTTTTTTCTATTATTGAAAATACTAATTCAAATTATTTGTTAATAAATTGAATTCTCAATTTATTTTATCTCGTAAATAAATTTTAAAAGAAAAATTTGTAAAAAATTATGATACAAAAAAAAATGATTTAATAGTCAAAATTTCACAAATTAATTCAAAAATATCTCTCATAATAGATATATAAATATTAGATCCAAAAGATTGTTATCTTGAAATAACAATTTATTATATTAATAATAATTGGAAATTAAAAAATCTTTTGCTTAATATACAGTAATTTCTATAAATGGTTCTCATAGAGCTGAATTAATTAATTACAAACAAACTTTTACAACTTTTTGAAGAATTCAATATTAGTCAGAATATTCTTGCTATGACAATAGATAATAGAAGTAATATAATAGTATGTAGTAATTAATTAACAACTGAATTAAATCAAAAATTTAATAATATGTTTTTTATTTATTTTTATTTTAATGTGCTGCTCACATTATTAACATGACAGTAAAAGCTGAAATAAAATATATAAGAAATAAAATCAAAAATTTCATCAATTTGTTATTAATAAAAAATTCACTACTATTATTAGATAAATTATTAGAAATTTGTACTATTAGAAAGGTTAAATTTCTAAAGCTAATTTTAGATATAGATATGTATTGGAATTCTACATATTTAATGATTACTAAACAACTTTAATGCAGAATATTTCTGAATTACTTATAACAACAAATCCTAAAGATTTTGATAATTTTTTTTCAATAATTTCTGAATAGGGTTGTATTAAGGTATTTATTATTTATTATTTTATTATTATAATTAATTAATTATTTATTTATTTATTTATACTTATTATTTATTTTAGGAATTATTATTAATTTTATAATCTATATTATAGATGCCTGCCAAAACCTCCTCAAAATAATTTCGTCATACCCTTTTCTATATTTTAATATAGTTTCAATAGTTTTAGCTTTCATCGTATTGAATGGATTTCGTTGTATCCCTTATTATGATTTAATATAGTTTCATCTAAGTTTTGACTGTTATTAAGGGGTTTCATCTTTATCTATAATCTATATATAAAGCAATACAGTTATTATCATCATCATTAAATTCTACATAAGATAATATACAATTGATTTTTGTTGAAATGTTTAAAATATTGAATCAATATTAAAGAAGAGGTCATCATATGTAAAAAAAAATAGCATCAACTATTTATAACAAATTAAAAAAAAATATTGGGATAATCATTTAAATTACACTTTTATTATTTCTTCAGTATTATATTCGCATTATAAAATCACATTATTTAAAAATAATGATTTAGTTAGAATTATTAATAATTTACAAAAATTATATAGTACATATTCTCTCTTAAATAATCAAATAAATTTTAAAAAAAGTTATTATCTCAAGAATTACTTTCTTAATTTGCTTAATTAAAATAATTATCAAAGAATGATATGTAATGAATTAAATAGATATCTAAATTTTCAGTAGATAATAATGCTAATCTTTTAATTTGGTAAAAAGTTCATGAAAAAAATTATTCTACAGTACGCGACACTTAAAGACTGAAATCACGTGATTTGTCCTGATCCCAAAATTTAAAAAATCACGTGACTATTATAAGTCATGTCATGTGATCTATATAAATCACGTGGTGAATATAATTCATATTACGCGTTAAACAAAATTATAAATTTCAATAATAAATTTCAATGATTAAGTTTAGTGTACAATTTATTGATTAGATTTAATTGATTAAGTTTAACCTATGATTTATTGTTTAATTAAGTTTAATTAATGTATAATTTATTAATAAATTTAATTGATTAAATAATGCATGATTTATTATTGATTAAGTTTAACACATGATTTATTATTAATTAAGTTTAACGCATAATTTATTAATAAATTTGATTTAATGCATATATATTACAGAATTTATTAATTTTGTTACTCTTTTTCACAACTCTTTTCTTTTATAAATGCAGTTAAATCATCTTGTGGAATTCGCCTATGTGATTTAAATTTTTTACATGCATATTCAACTAACTTCCCGATTAATCCTTTGTGATACAATTGCATGTATCTCTATGATTTTTGAGCGAACTTCCTAATTGTAGTAATATTCATTGAATCAAGTGCTTACGGAATAGTTTCTTGCAAGCCACCCCCTATGTGTAATTATAATTATTCCTTGTATAATACTTGGCCGCACCCTAGTACATTTCGATAAAATTAAGTTCGCAATGGAATTTCAGGTAGAAAACACATAAATGGCCTGCATTCTCAATTAATTCTATAATAGCTGATTTTTGCGCTATAAAATCTGATTGAGATGTCATAATCTTTCTTGCACAACAATCAACTCTTAGAGATTCTTTTTTCTTACATATTGAACACTTTAAGCTTAATCCTTCTTTTCATAAACCTCTTTCTTGTAATACCCTTTTTATCCCTTTTGGTTTTTCTCGCAAAGCAGGATCAGAATAATCTTCTGAAAATACCATTTGTTGAGTTATCTCTCATCCATCTTTATTAATAAAAGATGTTGACCTCATGATCAGTTATTTTTTCTCAGAATCCAGATTCATCCTTGTTGCAACAAGAGCATTTTTAGCATATGCTGCATGGTTCGTACTATTGTCAAAGGCGAAAACAACTGTTGCATTAGGAAATTTCACCTCAAAAATAGGAATCGCTTTGGATTTAATCTGCTCTAATAAATGCTTAAAGATCTAATAGCCTTCTTGATTCTTACCAGGTAAAAGATAACAACGAGCTTCTGTAGGAATATTGGGTTTCTTGTTGCCTCTTCTTCACTAAGTTTCAATCGACCACAAGCTTCTGAAAGAAATTCGCTTACCATAATCAATTTTCTGTTTCCCTTCTTTTGCAATGGCATTTCACCATCAGGTATCCAAATTTTTTTTTTCCATCGTTTGTATAGAAAATACATTCATTATGAGTAATAAAAATTAACTCTCGTTCTTCTAGTCTGAGTACTGGTAGAATTGCATTCATTTCTTCTCCTTCATATCTTGCCATTCGTTGTTCCAATTCTTTCATTACTTCTAAGAATTCTTTTTGATATGTAACAACGTCCGCCCATTCGTGTTCATCATAATAAATACCCTTTTGATATCCTTCATATTTGTATCCTATATATGCAACTATCTTTCGGCAGTTCTTATGCTAATTGTTTTCCAGATTCCTGCACATTCAGGCAAAATAAAATCTTCAATATACTGCTTAAAATGAGTCACATCAATACCGTTTAAGCCTGATTCTTGTCGTAATTATTGTCGCAAACTCAATGCAACATTTTCATTATTAACAAGTCGTTTATACTTTTAGTGCTTGCCACGATATGAAACTGAAAATGATTTGTGATTTAAGTAAAATTTGGTCAAAGAACGAATCTATTTAGCGGTATATGGCTTTGAAATAATATAAACTATCCACATTACTTCTTCACTAGCTTTCATTTTTCCATAGCCATTATTTAGCTATGTGAGATATTC